GAAGACTGGGGTGACATTGGCTTTCTTCCAGTCCTCAGGCACCTCTCCTGATCTCCAGGACCTTTCAAAGATGATGGAGAGAGGCCTAGCGATAACATCCGCCAGCTCCCTCAGCACTCGTGGGTGCATCCCATCAGGGCCCATGGATTTATGGATGTCAAGTTTGGACAAAAGATCTCTAACCTGATCCTCCTCCACCAAGGGAGAGTCTTCCTTTCTCCAGACTTCCTCCCTGGTCTCCAGTGTCTGGAATTCCTCAGGACTGGCCTTAGCAGGAAAGACTGAAGCAAAGAAGGCATTCAGCAACTCTGCCTTCTCTGTATCCTTCGTCACCAGGGCACCCACCCCATTCAGCAGTGGGCCCATGTTTTCCCTAGTCTTCCTTTTGTTATTGATGTATTTGAAAAACCCCTTCTTGTTGTCCTTGACGTCCCTTGCCAGATTTAATTCCAGCTGGGCCTTAGCCTTCCTTGTCGCATCCCTGCACACTCTGACAACGTCCCTGTATTCCTCCCAAGTGGCCTGTCCCCTTTTCCACATTCTGTACACTTCCTTCTTCTGTTGGAGTTTGGCCAGGAGTTCCTTGCTCCTCCATGCAGGTCTCCTGCCCGCTTTGCTCGACTTCTTCCTCAGTGGGATGCACTGATCTTGAGCCTGGAGGAGGTGATGCCTGAATATTAACCAGCTTTCTTGGACCCCTCTTTCTTCTAGGGCCCTACCCCATGAGATTCCCCTAAGTAGATCCCTCAAGAGGCCAAAGTTAGCTCTCCTGAAGTCCAGGGTTGTGATCCTACTCATTGCCCTGCTTCCTCCTCGTAGGATCCTGAACTCCACCATCTCATGGTCACTGCAGCCAAGGCTGCCCCCAACCTTCACATCTCCAACCAGACCTTCTTTGTTTGTTAGTACAAGGTCTAGCATTGCACCTCTCCTCGTCTCCACCACCTGAGTCAAGAAATTATGTCTGAGAACAAATGGTTGTGGCTTTTTAATGTTCTATCACGGAAAGCTGGGATCCAGGTACCATTTTATTCTGATCTCATTGTCACATTAGAGTGCTCCAGTCTTCAGGTTGGAGGAAAGTGCGAGGTTCAATAAATTTCCCTTAGGAAAAAATCTTTACTGATAGTATCATATAATCATTGTGAAATAATAAAATATTCATTTTTTAATATTTACTGTTGACAGAATCATCACCTTTTCAGTTAGAATAAATAATTGTTTCTTGAAAACCTGTCATTATGCGTTAATGATAAATATATCGTCTAGTGTTTCAGTTGTTTCCATATAATTGAGTTTTTATATGTATGCATAGTAGACACTGAAAGCATTTAGCAACCTGTTTTATACCAAAGGAATACATGTCCCATTCACTTCAGAAGAGCAGTAAAAAGTTTCTTATAATTTATTCTATAAAAACATAGATACTTATAGCTTCCATTTCTTCTTTCCTTCCTTCTCACTCTCTCTCTCTCATTCTCTCTATCTGTATGCACACATACATACATAAGTTTGTATGTATTTTGCGAAAAATACCATTCGTGGATAACCATGTCTTAAGTTTTGCCTATTATTGTCCTCATTAAATATATTTTATGTGAGCGCCATCTAACTTCACCATCTACTACACTAAAAGTTGCTTCACGTTTGAGTACAGGATCATGCTTATCAGCTATCTCCATACACTTCTCAGCACAATATTCTTTGTACAGAATCTGATCGGTTTATGTTGCCTGTGTGTCCTGTCCTTGGAAAAAAAGGGTTCTCATGTCTTCCATTACCGTGAATATTTCTGCAGGTATCTTAATGTGGGAGGTGTTCACTTTGGGGAAGCAACCCTATGAGCTATATGATAACATGCAGGTGATTGAGAAAGTTTCTCAAGGATTCCGGCTTTATAGACCACAACTGGTTTCAGACATCATCTATCAGATAATGTACAACTGCTGGCATGAGGTGTGTATATCTGTATATACAAACTGGAGAAATAAAAACAGATAGGAGTCACCATGTTCAGCTGAATAAATGTTAATAGTGGAAAGTATCTCTGATAAATGCCATTACTTGTATGCAGTACGTTCTATATAGCAGTCTAGTTCAGTACCTCATTAATGATAAGAGGAGAAAGCACAGGAAATAGGACATAAAGGAAGATTAGCTCACTTCTCTTCAGAACCAAGTATTTCAGTAAATAACATTACTCTTCAATGTAAAATACTCTTCAATGTAGTTCCAATATGTAGGGTGAGATTCTGCTCATCTAATTTTAACTGTTTAAAATTTGGGTACCAAGCTAAGCTAATTTTCAAGATTCCTTCCGCTGTTACAGAACAGAAACCAGGACTTCCCCGTGGTCATTTGCCCCCTCTATCTTAGACAGCAACCACAGAATAAAAGATATCTCTTCTCCCTGTACGGAGATCTTAAACAACTAATTTAAATGAGACCTCTATCTTTTTATAGATAGCTAAAGTGGAGTGAAATAACTCCTCCCTTAGAATGGGAAGGTTTTTTTTTTTTAATCCTATCTCCAAGTCTTGGAGCAGTTGTAAGTCAGATACTGATTATGATCATATTCTTTTTAAAGATCTATATCGGCTCTGCAAAAAATTTTCCTGATTCGTTGTTATTCTTCACCTAAACCTCAGTCAGCTGTCTGTAGACTGTGACCTATTTCTCAGCAGCAGCCAAGAACTGTTTGTCACTTTATTGTTGATACCATGAAATTACAGTAACAGCAGATTTTTTAATACAATTATCAGAAAAATGAGAAAATTAACCTCTATTTGAGGACATGCTAGCACAAAGAAAGGAAATCAAACTCTCAGAGCATTATGGAAATATAAAAAGCAGCTCTAATTTTCTTTACCCCATAAGTATCACTCTCTCTGAATTTCTGCATGCTAAAACCAAGAAAAATTAACACAAATTACAGTTCCTGAACATTTGCAGCATTAAATAACTATATCCATTGTTTTTGCTTCTTTTAGCTACCAGAGAAGCGCCCCAGCTTTTATCAGCTCCTATCTTTTTTTGAGGCATTGAAAGAAGATGACAGAGCTTGAAGAAGAACGCTCATAAAGAAATGACTCTGTATATTGGTTCTACATCACCTGTCTTCTATAAGGGAGTTATATCCGAAATCTACCTGACATTAGTCACCTCTATTATTCTGTGCTAGTTTTCTTCTAATTTAATTAGGGAGTTGGCCAAGAAGAGCATGAAGAAAGCTTTTGTGATATTCTGCAGGTAATAGCATCTGGAGGGATACTGTAAAAGAATATAATTCATTTTGTTAGCATTGTCTGAAAGGACTTCTCAAACCCTCGGGTGTACGGTAATTGTGTAAACTTTTTCAGTGCTTTCAAGCCACCATTATTTGGCCTTAACTGGAAATGTAAACAGGGAAATATATGCCTGGTAGGTTTTCTGATTATCATAACTCATCTGAGTGTGTTTTTCCTTTGTAATCACCTGAGGCTGATTTAAAGACAAATTCAGAACTGCTGCAAGTGACAGCAAAATGAATAGTTTTAGTTTTGCCTTCAATTACTTGGAAATTATTATCGGTAAATTATTATATCCATTTGCTTACTAGTACTACTGACTTCAGTTTGGGCCTTCAGGGTATCTTTTTGATATGGAATTCATTCTAAACTATGTGTCTACGATATTTGCAACTTAGCTACATGGATGGAGTTTACTATAGTGTGCTATTGCTTGCTGCTAGACTTAAAGATGAAAAAAATATGTTCTATCCAGAATTCTGTGGTCATTACAATCATCAATGGTAAATTATGCTCATCTCCATAAAACCTGACAGGCAAAAATTTGAAGAGAACTGAAAATACTATTAATATCATGTTTAACCAAATATTTCACTTCTGAGGAGCTGAAATTTGGCTCCTGATGTTAACACTGAGTTCTTAAGTAAAAGCACCTGACTTTCATGCGTGCGCAGCAGTATCCTAATTAATACTGACAAATTAATCTAGAGATGCCAAATACACCTGAAGCTGCACAGCTACTTCCAGTTTTGGAAAGTATAAGGACAAAAAAAGGAGTCCAAACTTAGACACCCATGTTTATGAAATGCTGATCTAATATATATGAGGTTTTTTGGTTTTTTAAATAAAGTAAGATCTGAAAAAATCTCCCCTTCTCTTCTTATATTTGAGCTAATTCAATGTGTGACCCCTGTTAGAGTCCAAGTGATTTCTGCTCGCTCCTCCCCTCACGGAGTGGCCCAGCTCAGGTAGGGGCCCCTTTGCTAAGCATGGTTGTCTTTGTAAAGGGGAGCTCTATGTGTGTGTCTTTGAGGGAAAATGTCATTTGAGGCTGTGTGAGTGACTACAGGGATCTACAGAGGGTTGAGGGGCCCCAAGAGGCAGGGCACAGTATGATGTTGCCTCTGCATGGAGCCAGTGGAAGGGGCACTGAGCTAGATTAAGGGCAGAATATGAGTGGGATGCGAATCCCTGGGTGCTGAGAGCGTGAGGTACTGCTGGGGCTAACACATAAGGCTGATTTTTTAAATATAAATGTCTTTTTATTTCTGTTCTTCTCACACCTTGTTATCTTTTTTTGTGGCTTTGCATGCTGACAATTCTGAATCATATTTTATTTACAACACAGCTTTTAGAATTAATCACTTTGAAAGGAAAGCTTTGTCTCAAGGGAAATATTAATCTTAACAACATATATGAAGATGGCTGGCATGTCTAATTACATTGTTTGATTGCTTCCACTTTTGCTATTCCATGTTTACCTTACTGCCCCAAAAGTGGGAAGACCATATATAGTTGAATTGTTTATGTTAGAATTTCAGCTAAAATACTAAGGTTGGAGGATGTTATGGCATCGAGGTATGTGCTGTAGACAACTGGAAGAAAAATTTTTTTCATTTCCTTAGGTTCTTGTCTAAGGCCCTACAAACTAACCAGTACCGTCTGCCTACCGTTTTGAACTGCCTCATTTAAGAGCCTTCTCTCTTAAATTGAGTGTGGAGCACTAAGAAAGTGTTTCATGAGCCCAGAGAGTCCAGTTACATGTTTTCAGCTGTATGTTGGATTACTTTCTACAATTTCTGTCATAGTTTTGAAAGCCCATAAGTTTAAGAATGCATGGCCTCTGTTAAGGCCTTTGTTTGGTAATTGTTCTTTATCCAGAGAGGTGAGATTGAGTAGATACCTCATGGCTTTCAATGTCCCTGGTGTGTACAGAACATCCGCACGGGCACAGTGGCAGGCACAGGACCTACAAGACTCAGAATGATAGAAATGCTGTTTGGAAGGGACCTCTGGAAGTCATCTAGCCCAACCTCCTGCTCAGAGTGGGATTATTGCCACATTCAGTCATTCACGCCTTTGCCTAGCTGAGTTTTGAAAGCTTCCGAGAGTGGAGATCCTACAGCCTCTCTCAGAGCCTGGAACGGGCAACCAGTTCCAGCACTGCACTACCCTCCTAGGAAACAACTTTTCAGGTGTAACCTGAACATCCCAAGCCTCAATCCACTGCCCTGTGTTAGATAGACTGGGATTACAGAGAAGGGCAAAAACAAAGAGGACTGAGCCAAATTCAAATAGTTGCAGGCAGCTGCTAGATTCCTCCCTTGCCTCCTCTTCCTCTGACTCAACCAGCCTGCTTCCTCAGCATCTCTTCGTAAGTCATATGCTGTAGCCCCTTAACCGTCTTTGGGAACTCTCCATTTTCTCCACATCCCTCTTGAACAGGAATCACAAAACATTATTCCAGGTGTGGTCTCACCAGTGCTAAATAGAGGCAGGTAATGACTTCCCTTGATCAGCTGGCTATGCTCCTCCTAATCTATCCCATATTGTGATTTCCTTCACTCATGGTAAGAATGTGCAGTGGGCTCATATTCAGCCTAGTGTCCTTCATAACTCCCAGGGCCTTTTCAGCAAGGCTGCCTCTCAGTCGCTCTGCTCCCAGCCTGTGCCAGTGCATGGGGTTATTCCACTCCAAGTGCAGAACTTTGCACTTCTCCTTGTTGAACTTCATGAGGTTTTTTATTGGCCCAGTCCTCAAGTTTATTCATAACCCCCTAGACTGAAGCTCTGCCATTTGCCACATCAGCACATCTGTACCTTCCACTGCCACTGCTCCAAGAGCAACTGGAGACTGGGCAGGATATGTTAGAGCATCTAAACTGGTACTAGATGTCTATGCTTAGGTATCTAAATTCCACCCCAAGGTTCCTGATAGTAGTTGTGACAGTTGCTCCCTTCTCTACATGACAAGGTCTGATGTCTTAAATAATTCCTTGAAAGAAAAGCCAAAGCAAGCCAAGCTAACACCATCTGCTTGACTCTGGCAGAAAGAAACAGAGAGCAAAATTGATTCGGCCAATGCTTGTATCAGAAATCTGAAGTGCAGAAGCAGACAAACATCAGACTGTGCATCTTTTCCACCTGCCCCTGCTTGTTGAGATGCTCTGTGCTCTTTCTGCTTTGTAGAGTACAAGGTTTTGTTCCCAATAAGCAGGATTTCCCATGGGCACTGTTCATTGGTTTTCCTGCAGTGTGGTAACCCCATTTTATTTTCTGTCCACGGACATTTTGTACGTCTTTATGCCTTCTCTACTGACAACACATGGCAGAGGGAGGGCTATGGCTTTTTCAGGATCTTATTGAATGGCAGAAAGAGTCCACAATCAGGTTCTCAGAATTTAGTGATGGCACTAAATTTTATACCTTGCTTTTCCAGGATTTAGAGCTTTTACATTTAACATTAAGAACATTTTATGGCTGGTCATAGAGAGGTGCTGAGATTGCCGATTTGCAACCAACCTTTCCTCTAAATTGTTACATTGTTTTGTGAATTTTCAGCATGAAGTGCATGCTACACTGCTGAGATTTTGCATAAAATGTATTGGCTGATGAAAGAAAAGACTAGAGACAGATACAGGACAACGATACTGGGTACAAAGATATCAAAAGGAGAATCTAGGACAAGTGCTGAGGACATGACACCCTACTTAGTAAAACACTACAGGGGATTCATCTTACCTATCGGTAAGCATATAGACTATGCTTACATACTCAAGACTTTTATACTCACTTTGGGCCGGGGAAAGGAGAAGAGAGAATCTTTTTTCTTGATTTGCTTTGTTCTGGGCTTTTTAGATCACTAAACTTTGTAACAGTGCAAAATGCTGAAATGTTCAGTTTTTTCCATGAAACAGAACTCTTGTCTTCTAGCCAGCTCTTGATGTGGTTTCTTTCTTTTTATATATACATATATCCACATGCACATACCCACAGGCACACATATACGTAAAAAATAAACTCCTCCACACTATTCAATAAAATTACGTCAAAAACCAATCTATGGACAGAAATTTACAGACCCAGACATACACTATGTAAATTCTTCTCATGCACTTAAGACCTAATCTGTAGGATATGTAATAATGGAGGCAATGGTTGAGATACGGAAAAAAAACCCCAAACAACTGTGATCATTTAGTATTAAGGAAGTTTATTTCATTTTTAGATTACAATATAACACAGAGGTGTTTTTTGTTGTTGTTTTGGGTTTTTTTTTGGAGGAGGAATGTGCTATTTGGTCTCTACAAACTTATCAAGCAACCAGTTGGAAAAATAACTTATATTATGCATTTCTAACAAAGTTCAAGTGCTTATTTGTCTTCATTCAGGACCCATTTTGAATTGATTCAGATTCTCTGAAAGTGCAAAAATTGCAGTTACTTCATATGAACGTGATTTCTTCACCACAAAGGTTCTTCTGGTGGTCAGTTTTTTTTCTGTTAGATACAGTTTTAAGCTCTCCGTCCAGAAAGATCAAGACGTTCCTCATGGGCATCAGGAGTATGTGAGTTGTGGCTGCCTTGATCTTAAAATAACTTTATACTTCCAAGATTTTGTTCCTCATTACAGAGGAAAAAGAAATTGGATACAGCAGGTTTAGGAAGAGCAGCACAAGCAGTATGTGTTATGATATGCATAATTCATAGAAAAGCCACAGGGCATGCATATCTTGCATTTTTGTACATAATCTAGTTAACACATACACAGCAAATGACACCAAGCTGCTGTTGCCTGTGAATGAGTAGTTTTATAGCATGCCAGAACCCATCATGTTTGATAACATCTATTATTGTTTTGGTCCTCGCTAGACACCACTGTTAAAAGTGAAATGAAAAAAATTAAAAATCCTTAGTTCACGTGCATGTCTTCTAAAACGCTGTCTGCATCTCTTCAGACGGTTCGAAACCGAAGTTATTTTCTCCCTCTTCATGATAAGGGTTCACTGAGAAGTTTGATCCTGCTTTGCTTGCTTTTTCTCTCTCCCTCCTGTAATGAAAATTCTTTTTATATTAGAAGCTCCTGTTCTGATCAAGTTCTTCTGTATCCTAAAAAGAAGCTATTGTAAATGATACTCTTCTTAACTGGGAACAGTTATACCAAAATGAATTGTGTTAGTTTTAAGGGAAACTTTAGCAAACCCATTACATTTTAGAAACTTCATTAACTGCGAGATGTAGAAAATCAGCCCAACTACATTGGTGTCAGTGCAATGATACTGAAGGAAAACAACATTCCTGGACAACCTCTACCACGATAATTGAAGACGTCAGGTGCTGATGAATGTGGGCAACTTCTGCTATCGGAGAGGGTACAGCGCTCCAAGCAGTGCTCCATCAACCTTGCTGCAGTGCTGGCAGAAGCCTGCCCATGCTACACCTCCCTGCAGTCACAGATTTCAGCTGCCTTGTTTAAACTGCTGATGAAGGGGAAATCGCACTAAGATGCTGAAGCTGGGTTGCACTGGAGTGGCTGAAAGGCATGGAGCTGTACCTTGAGCCATCACTGTCAATGGGGGTGGGGGGACAGGGAATAATAAGCAGTAATTCCTTAACTTGCTTCAGTTAGATTTGGCCGCCTAGCTGTATGCACTTTAATGATTCAATCATCTGGACTCTTCGAGGCTCATGATCACAGTATCAGAAATATTACTCACTTTCTTTGATTTCTCTGTCCAGTGATGATCAAGATAACAAGTCCAATGACAACCATGCTAATGATCACCCCAAATGCAATTAACCAGACAGTGACTGGTGGTTCATAAGGTGCGGCCAGGGTTGGAAATATGCCCACAAACTCCAGCGTGTTATCATCCAGTTTGAAAGCCTCACTGATCCGTTCCCGAGACATTCTGCCATCAAGAGCAAATTCAAAGCATTACATATTTTTACTGGAAAGAAATAAAGAGTTTTCAGGTGTTTTATAACTCTCCAGTATGCCAAGCTGCTTCCCCTGTATGACCCAACTAAAAAGGCTGTTCAGCAGATGGTGCTAAACCTATATCCTTCCTGTCCTGGGATGGTGGTGACAGGTACTGTAACCAAAACCCGTATCCTTCTGCAGCTGAAGTGACATGTCCGAGTACTGCACAAGCTCTTATACCCAGTCTGAACAGCTTATCCAAATGATGCAAGCAGCCTTCTGATCTCACTGCCTGCATTTTGCTCCTCATGCTCTTCACCCATAAGTTTCTTGGATATATGAAGGAAAACTATATCTTTGACTTCTTCTTACCTGTTTCCCTCTTACAGTCTCCCACAATCTTCATCCTTATCTTTTTCACTTCCTTGAAAACACTTTTTCTGGAGTCTTTTCTGTGTCTTATTTTTCCCTGAATTTTTGCTTTTGCTATTGAGTTTGAAATGGACAATGACTTTCACAGTCATATTCTCCATTGGCTCACCAATTTCTCCAGTGACTTTTTCAACTCCATCTCATGTTGGTGCTACCTTTAGATTCATGCCCTCTTTTCCCACTCTGCATTGTCCGTGACCGTTTGCAGATTTACAGTTTTACCAATCATTTCTACAGTAATAACTTAGAGTGGTGTCACACTGGGCTATAAAAGAGCTCTTCGTTGACCCATAACTGGGAACTGGCTAATTCTCTGACCTCTTCCTTTCTCTATAATCAGACATATCTGGCTTTCTTTCTAATATATCATTCTGGATAGCAATATTTCTTGCACTGAATTTTCACTAATGAGGTGAAGAAAAATTTACAGACACATGCACACTCATGCACATACCCATACAATTACTGTCCCTTGTATTTCAGGATATAAGATAGTTTCTGTTTAATTTTGATCAATGATATTTCCTGGCAAAGTACGATGCAATTAGGTGTGTTACGACAGCTTTACAAGCCCCCTGAAGCATTTTACATTGGCTCAGTCAGAGCTCACTTTCTTATCACTTCTTCTGCTTCAGCTAACTTGAACACAGCTTTTCCTTCCATCCTTTCATGTTTTTTTTTCCCATAAAGCAAAATCTCACCTGATGGCACTCTCTACATCAGCTCTGGGAACAACATCACTGATGTTACCTGGCATGCTGACAGTAAAGTAGAAGGAGATCCTTCGTGTCTCGTCCCCAACATGGATGTCTGCAATCCTGAGTGAGAAACAGAAGAGAAAAGTTTCTTGATTGTCAAGATGCCATTATGTCTAAATTAGGCAAGTGAACAGTTATGTTTGACAAGTGGTGCTGGAGGTAAACCTTGTACTGAGTGGATGCTTTTTTGTGAACTCAGTTCAGAAATAAGATCTATCTTCCTGTCAGAATTTCTTTCTTGTATGTGCTGATTAGTAATTTTAAACAGAGAGCACCTACCCCATGTCTAAGACAATCCTCGGCAAAATTTTCCAAGGCACATAATCCGTGACAGGACAGAAGAATTGCCCTCTGAGCGTTTGGAGCAGGGCTCATGTCTGAGGTGATGTATGAAACACCTAGCGAAAAAGATTCCTTCTTCTTTGTATTCTGCTGGGAATAGGTCCTAGCCATTACATGACTGATGCTCTTTTTAAAGCAGTATCACATAGTTTAAGAAGATAGCTTCTGAAAATTGTCCAAGAGACCTAATAAAAATGGTATTTTTCAAACCAAAAGCAATTTTGTTTGATAGATGTTATGTTTGTAAGTAAACCTAGATAAGATTCGTTGGCCTGCATGGAATTTTAGAGTGTGATGATCAACTAGTTTATCTTTCCACGGCCTAAAACCTCTTAGATATTCAGTATCATACACGTACATTGTTAAACTTTTTTATTTCTAATTGACGCATCTTCCCCGGTATTCCCACGTAGATATCAGGCAGAAAGTCTCAGGGCTCAATTTCACCACTGATAGGTAGAAGGAGACAAAGCCTTCTGGATCTGCTGGAGTTGCTTAACTTAAGAACAGCTATTCCTAAACCTCGGACTTGTCAACAAAGTCAACAAAAATACGAAACAGAGCTGACACCTTACCTTTTGCAACCAGCCAATGTTTGTTTGTTTTCACCATCCCTGCTACATTTAACAGAAGGCAGACTTAATTCCACCAGCTCCTACCGCTAGTGAACCAGAAACAATCTAGACATAGTTAAGCAAGCAACTCACTGGAAGTCTACTTCTTTGTGCTTCACCTCTGAGAAATATTTTCTCATAGCATAGGCAATGGATGACTTGAACAAGAAGAGCTCGCTTGTATCCCAGTCATACTGCAAAAACAGCACAAGAGATCTCCATCAGAGATGATAATTATATGGCAAATTAGCTGACACTAAGAAATCATTCTTAAAAGAAACAGTAATTGTAATGCTTGTCATGTGCTTCAGTATTATTTATTTGTCCTCTGACAGCGCTTCAGGAACCTCCTCAACGGTTTTACATCCATTAGTCTGGGAGCTCTGCAGAAGGAAAACCAAGCAGCCGCTCCTGGTATCAGACAGTGCATTTTGTGTCCGTCTGCACTGTCTGGTAGCTTTAGGTGGGGCTCCTGAAGGTGCTCAGTCCTAGCCCATCTCCCTGCCTGGCATGCAGCAGAGGCAGCAGAAGCAACACATGCCTTGTCACACTCGCTGCAACTCATAGCCTGAGCTTTAAAGAGAGGATGATAAAGTGTCCATCATGATAACAGCACCCGTACTTAGAAATTCAGCAGTAATGTGAACTCATAGCTCAAGCTGTGAGCCAGGACAGCCACTGGGCCGGCATGCAGCTGCCTCCCCCCCTGCCGCTGCAAAGCCAGTGACCTCTAGCTGCCAGCCAGGGCAGAAAGTCCTGAGATGAAGATGAGAAGACCTTTAAAGCTAGCAGAGGTCTGTCTTGGCACCCACTTCTGCCCCGGGGGATGCCTGGGTGGGAGGTTGCCCACCTGCCCCAAGGAGCAGCCACCTCTGCGGGGGCAAAAAGGATGAAGCTGCTGCTGCTGGAGGTACCCAAAAGCAGCCCCAGCGGCCAGCTCCAGCTCCTGGGGCTACAGAGGCTGCAGCACCCACAGACATTTCCACTTATCCAAGGCTCTGACTTTTGTGGTTTTCATCAGAGCAAGCTTGTTGTTAGCTTGGCTGGCAGCTACAGAGAATCACATAAATGGCATTAGGAGTAGTTATCCCACTTCAGTACAAGAGCTTGTATAGTTTGAAAAGGTCCGCTTTGTTTAAAAAATGGAAGGCTGATTCCCAGGTCTAATCATCATTCTTTGGGGATTCCTACTCAGGTAGTATTCTTACTAATTATTGTACCTTGAGTTTGAAGTCTAAAGATTTTGTTATTTAGATATTGTTAAAAATTACACAATTTTATTTGTAGACCTGTCCTTTGTAGGAGGAGAAACTTCCTGGGGGGGATTGGTTTTGTACAAGAAGAGGTACTCATTCATTTGCTTGAGAAGCTGGGATTTTTGTTTGGTTTTTGTTTTGTTTTGTTTTTTGGATAAGAGCTCCTTGTATGAGTATTTCTGCTGTAGGCATGTGTTTGTTGTTTTGAGCTGGATTGGCCATATAAAAAAATGAACTGTATGTGTGCAGGTTCATAGTGGCCTGCCTTACGAGTCCAAAATTATCTACAGTGGAACATAAAAATCAAAAATACCTTCTCTGGGGTGGGTACAGAAAGCTGTACAAGGAGCAAAAACCACCGCAGGAGCTGATAATGCACCCTAGTTCACCGTGCAACATCGTGTGTGCATGAAGGGAAAATTCCTTTCTGAACTCTGTAGTAGTTTTTTTTTATCCCCTGAGGGCCTAGATTTGATTGCATTTATGATTCTTTAAAAAAAAAAGGAATGCCTGTAAACGCTATTGTTGGTAATAGTTTTACACGGTTCCTGACTTTCTCAGGTACCATTCTGTCAGGTGTGGTAGAAGACAACTCTGTTGTAATTGCTGTTATAAAATCCAGCTACATTTTTCAGCTCTGTCCTCCTAGTGAGACTGGTGTGAAATGGAGACACAGAAATACACAGGAGGACAGAGCAAAACGAGGCCACCTTTGCCTGTCCATGTTAGGTCAGGCCCCCAGAGAGCGGGCGGGTGACGCAGAGCCTCTCCTAGCCGACAGCCCCCCACCCTGGTCCCAACAGTGTGCGGGAGCCAGAGGCTGTGCCAGGTCTGGCTTTTCCCATTAGCAAAGGTTAAAGCTGTAGGTCAGCTTTGCCCTGGCAAATGCACTGAGCTTTATTTTGCTTAACAGGTGTCAGAGAAAGCCCTGTGCTGAAGCACTTTTGAGTGCTACCACTATTTTCTCCAGCAGCTGGCGGTGTTCACCATCAAAGCCTATTATGCTATTGTGGGGTTTTTCCAATTTTTCATTTATTCCCAATGCCTTTAGGCTCTGGAGGGCTTAACTTTTTTTACCAGCCGCTAATTCAGTTTGATTCTTCAACTGCTGCTTTCTGTACTTAGCAGCTCCAGTAGCTTTTTAATCACTTATTTGTTTGCGTAGCATATATTTTGTCTTTTTAAATGCAATTCATTTTAATTGCCAGCATGCCTTTCAAGTGCCTTTATAAATAGCATTACTGGATATAAAAGAAGTGTGAATGGGAAGTACCTGGCTGGCTTCCGATCTGTATGTGAGTAATGACTACCCACGCTCCTTCCCTAGGCCACGAGGTCGCTGTGCTTTCAGAGTAAAAATGAACTTTGCCAAGTGGCTGTACAGTGGCGTGCTCCCTCCAAGATCCCATGTGTAACTTGAAAGACGGTGCAAGTCTGGCCTCTAATTCTAAAAAGATTTTCCATTTTAAAATACATCCAAATGCCTGAAGTTTGACTGCTCTCCATTCCCAAACACCACCTCGTGTGCCACAATGTGATCATATATATGAGGTTGACCCAGTGGGGATTTTGTGAATTAACGTCTGCAAAGGGTTCCCATTTTCAAATGATGCTGAAGGGATTTCCCTTCCTGCAACCCTTTATTTTAAACCAGGCAGACATTGAGGGATTCACTGGGGGTCTTTAACAGCTCCCCTTGGGAGGGCACTTTCACAAAGACCCAGGTGGAGCAAAGCTGCGGGTGTTTCAGCCTCATCAGCTGGTGATCATATGCCTGCATACAGCCAGAAATAAAGCTGCAGCTTTAATCTCGTCAGCGTGAGGACTACTAGCAGAGTCATTGCGGCAGAACATGCTCCAGCACAGCTGGCACAAGCCCATCCATGAGTCCTGGTGCTTAATTTGCCAGAACTTTATGCTGTTGAAAGTACCCTGCTGCTAATATTCGAGGCATGCAGCTGAGAGCTGGCTCCAGCCTGCCTGCGTGAGCTGCAGCAGCCCCTTCGAATGAAGCTCTCTCTCTGCATAAGAGGGGTGATTTTCCCTTTCCAGTCTAACCAATGCTGAAGAGTAGATATAAGAAAAGATTTGCTGGTGTACTCAAAATGCTTTCTGCTGTTCTACCCATGCAAAACAGCTCTAAATACCTCTTAAACAAACAGTTACACTGGATTCCCTGCTTTTGTGCACTGTGAGCAGATAAGGCAACCAAAACCTACTGCTCTGTGTACCCAAGCTGAGAGTCCTGCCTGAGGTTTTCCCTGGCTTTTCTCTATGCCAATTCATGCATGTGCCATTATGCGCTGCTGGCATACCAGCGATTCAGAATCACATCCCTGGGAGCTCAGCTTAAGAGAAATTTGTGGTGAGGGAGAAAGCCACTGAACGGAAAAGGTTTCCTGCAATTTGGAGACATGGATTGGTTTTGAGAGGAAAATGCCTGTCTTCCTCTTCAGAGTTTAGGAACCTATTGCCCATATAATAATTCAAATTAAATAACCTGTATGGAATTGTTTTACAGCTGCTCAATTGCACAACAAAAGACTATGATGGCAAAAGGCACTCATAAAAATAGTATTAAGCTAAACATTAACCATAATGACTAATAAATGTGTTGTAATATGGAACCTTTCTCTGCTGTTGATATCAGTTTTGAATCGTATCTAACGCGACTCAGCGGTCTAGGAAGCAATAAAGCTCCACTAGGGCTTGCACGGGAGAGAGTGATAGAATTGAGAGTATCAATTCATATGAAAAATATGCCCACAGTACTGTGTCCTTGCTAGTCCAGTAAGCTTCTATACACAGATCTAAATGACCGGCCCGATGACAAACTAATTCTTGGAAAGTTGCTGATGTTCTGCAAGGTGAAAACAACTGTTAGCAGGAATAAAGTGCCTGTTCTTAAGCCTGCTGTGTTGCTTCTGTGAGATTAGCATAAAGAGACACAGCTAGAATAAGGAGCAAATTTTTAACCAAGTGTCTGGGTTAAACAGATGGACTAAGTTAATGCTCTGCTTAAAATCTTAAAAGCCATCTTTTGCCTTGATGAGTTTTGTGGGTAGCTGTAATATATTTTATTGGGCCAGCTGGTATAATTGGGGAAAGTAGATAAGCTCTTGGGAATGAAAGCCCATCTCCTCATCTGAAACTGAAGCAGCACAGCATTTACTACACTGCCCTCCACAACCTGAACAATGAAGATATCCCTACATAAGGCTTGGATTGCAAGGAGAGAGCAGAATTTATCAGGGCCAGGAAAGATTACAGCAAATAAGCAAACAAATTGCTACAAAGGAATACTGACAGAAGTGTTTCAATGTGAAACCAAGAGCATGTGAGAATATGGGGTGGGATTCAACTCCTCTGTTTTAACCTTACATTTATATGTGAAGCATCTGCTCTGAGAATGAGTCCTGAAGGCAGCCACCATACCCATGGTGATAGATATTGGGAAAAGTGTATGGGTAGAGGCTTCATCTTTTATTTAGACATATCAGTATAAGAGGGCAAAATATAGTACTTTTCAGGTACACAGCCCCACCCCCATCTCCCAAGCCAACCTTCTAGGCTTGTCCAGTAGCAGATGAAAAGTGATTGGCACCTCTGCAGAATAACTCAGCTCATCTATTTAAGCCATCTTTCTCAAAATGGATCAGATCAGCCCCTGGAGAGGTCCATCCACTGATTTTAGAGAGAATCTTGACCACAAACTTAGATGAGACATCTTTTACACGGTAGTTCTTCATCTTAGCTGGTGCCACTCCTCAGACACAAAATACAGCTATACCTTGCCTTACTGTCCAAGAGCCATTAATGCAACATCTCTATTGCGTGAGCAATGCACAGAGCGCCACAGTGCAAATGTACTCACCGCCTGGTCCCCCAGCGCTGCTTTCAGGCTGATACGTACTTTGATGGCGTTGTCATAATCTGATTTAAAGAAAAGCAAGGGCTGTGTCAGAACTGCAGCGACAAAGTTAGTCCCTGGTAATGCTAGGGTGGCCAGAGTTTCTTCACCTGCTTTCCCTGGGCTGGTGGGGTGAGATTTATTGTGTTTCACTTCAGCCATCTCTACTGTAAACACCTACATCTGAGCCATCAGGCACCCAAGTCTCACTTTGGAGTTGATAGAAAGAAAGAGCACATCTAGATTCCAGTCCTCTGGAAATGCTTCTTTCCTTCCATGGTGAATAAACAGCTCAGATGTAGATGCTGATATCTGGCCAGGTGAAACCCACCATTAGATTTAGGCACAGCAACACAGGACTTGCTACACTTTCCAGCACTAACAGTGACTACGGGTATACAGCTTGGGTGGTTCAACACTCCCTGTCATCATAATAAGATCAAAAAATGCATTTTTTCCACGGCCTCCTCCTTTTCGTCCCCTTGAGCTCCCTTCTTTGAATAGCAAATGAGAACAAATGAAATAGTACTAATTTTTTGATATTGGTTTGTTCCTGCTCCCCCCAGCTCTGGCGGATCCTCTGGTTCTCAGGCGTTGTGGCACCTACCTAAAGCCCGTGTCTCCAGAACAGGCGCACCAGTCTCAGGAAAGTGTCACGCTGACATAGCTAAAGCGATTAGTGCCTTACAAGTCCAAGCCTCCAATCTTTCTTCCTTCTGCATATCTATCCCACATTTTTAGTGCTACCACTATAAAAAAAAAAACAACTTAATTTCTGAAAATTGAGTGAGGCTGTGACAAATCGCATGCATGTTGACTTCTCCAGCTTTGGCCATGAGAAAGCCAGGCCTACTTCCTAGGAGTAAAACTTACTGCCGAGTGTACATTTCCCTTACCCCTGTTTTCCTGCAAAGAAGAGCCTTTAATAGCTACAAGAGAAGGGGACTTTGCTAGTCGTGAGTTGTGAGGACTAACAGGCATTTTTGATTCACCTACAAACAGTACATACATGGAGTCCAGGCTGTATTCCAACCAATAGCTCTGCCAGAATTGTTTTTTTGCAGCCAGTTAAATAAAGGCTCGAAGTAGTGGAGCAAGGGCGTTGCATTCATATACTTTTCTCCTGTTATGCTTTCTAGTGCTTGAGTCCAGGGCTTGGATCTGCCTAATTCAAGCATTTGTCTGTGTATGGAAGGGGAGATAATTTACATTATTTTCAAGTTCCACCTAGTTAATAGCAAAATAATTTGCAATCAAATCAAAAGACTTTTTTTTTTGCTTCTGAATTCCCTCCTTCATCCCATCATTCTTATTAAAAAAATAAATTATTTTCTCATTAACAAGAGATTAAACCTTTAAGGGTTAAATCCTCAGATGATATCTATTTAGTCATCTTGTCAAAAAAAAAAAGAGAAAATACACGCTTTCAAGTAAAAAAAAAAAAAGGGTTTCTAGACAAGTTCACTCTTGGTGTAACTTCATTGACTCCAGTAGCTTTCAAGGACAAATAAGGCTTTGTTATACCCTGATTTATTATATACAAGAAATCTGCTTTGTTACCTCAAATTCTGACCAGCTGCTGTGGAATTGGTAATGTCACATGTGTGAAGAGGGCCAGTATGCTTAGCTGCCTTGCAAAGTGCTTCCTGAAACTGGAACTGATAAATGGTCCGGGTGTAATATCTAAAGGAGAGGCAAGAAGAAGGAAATCATATGTTTTATTAATTGTCTGGCAGGGAAACTCCCAAGCCCTTGACCTTTGGAAAGCTCTGCTATGTCAGTTAGCATTCCTCCTTGGGAAACTGCACATCAGAGAGTGAGACCAGCTGCTATTTACAGGCTGCACTAACTTAGATTTAACAAAATGCCAGGCTCAAATGCTGCAGAAGAGCCAAAAATCTGCTTACTGCCATGTAAATCAGGAGTGAATGAGGTTGTTATGGCCCAGCTCTCCATGCCAGTGGAGCCCACTAGGACAAAGTGGCTGGGACGCAGAGGAACCTCCAGGAACAATTTCTTTAGGGCTGCATGTGTGCGGCCCACGTGACAGTGGTACAGTGCATGTTATCTCCACTTAAGGTAGGAACCTCATACAAGTAACAGATATGCTCTCACCAGTTCAATGACAGTAGAAAATTTCTTTACTCAACAAGCAGCTTAGCAGCCTCCTAGCTGCTCAGGGATTGCTATAGAGGAGCCCCTGATGTCTATACAAAAACTTCCTCTGAAATCAATGGCCTTCAGTCAGGACTTTAAACAAAATAAGATTGCACCCTAAGACTCTCCAGTAGGTGTTTCTTCTATACCCAAAAGCATAAGCCATGATTAAACATTGAGCAAGGACGATGCTACCTTATGAAGGAGTAATCGTTGGCCACGTGAAACAGTGCTGCAGGGTCACAATAGGTTTCATCATGAGGGACTGGTTCGACCACACCAACTATTTCTCTCCTGGTGATGGAGGAGGGAAAAAACACAGGATTTTCATTAATAGTTCATGAAAAAAGAAATCATCTGACTCTACTCTTCCTCTATAAAGTCTGATGTGTATGGGCACCTCTTCCATTTCCAACTGAAAAAAAAAAAATTTACAGCTTTCAGTAACCGTACATGAGTACTGATCCATGGCTGGAGATCACAGAGAAGAAGTTGTGCTGAAACCGATGATAGCACAAAGAAAGGATTTGTGTTCTAACAAGGTGTGCAGGGAGCAGCTGTGGTATGAAATGTCTTATAGGACATGAGTTTCACACACATGCCTTGGGCGACCCTGAGGTCAGAGACTAACATCAGTGTTTGTGTGCTGAGTACCTGTAGGCAGGGATTACATGAACCAAAAGGTGTGTGATCTGCTGTGCTACTGAGCTGGGGGTTTCATTTTTTTTTTCGTCTGCCTAGAGCTTGTCTCCGGAACAGTGCTATAAAAATAAACACATACCCCAATTTCTGAGAGTGGTAAAAAGTTTATATGGAAAATTTTTGTCCATAAACCTGTATGACAACATCTTAGTCCAGCAGAGAGCTTTGCAATGCCACTACAACAGATAAAGTAAGCTTCCCTGAAGAGCTTGTCATTATCTGTTTCTGACGTCTCTGCTACTTTTCAGTAAATGAAAGCTGACTGATTTTTACAGTGGGTCAGGCCACTTGTTTATATCAGGTTTTCTTATAGATTTTGTTTGCTCATGGAGGATCCATTTTCACTGTGGGGCTTGTTTGGTTTCTTTGTGGTTTTTTTGTTTCCATGTTAAGCACCCCAGGGAATGGCAGACTTCCATGTAAAGCTTTTTTAACACTGAACTCCAGGGAGCTGAAAATAGATTACCTGGTGGGGATCATCTGAAAAGGCACCTCTGGATGTTACTTGGCAAGGGAACTGTATTTTCTTAAATAAGAAAGATGGTAGCTAGAAAAGACCAGAAGCAGAAAAAAGCCTGGCCTGTAGGAATATCAATGTAAAGGAGAGGAAAGAAGCAGTTTGGATTCTTACAGACAACTTACATCCAAAAACACTCTAAAATGGTGAGGAAAAACTGCAGTGGAGAAGCATGCACAGCTATTCATTGGCTTTAAAATTGTACATTCATTAAGCTGGCAAGTATGATGCACTTCACTTTCCACCTGTCCTTTAACAGGTGAAGAGCAAACCAGACCTTATGCCAGATGGCACTTAGGGCAAGGCTATATTTAAGCTACTAAGATGTCTTGAGGCATGAGTCAGAGAGAGTGGAAGTGTTGATCCTCAGACCTGGAACCTCTTATGCAAAGACTAGAGGGTGTCTTCATCGGAGAAGCTGAAATTCAAAATGAGGACTGAAGTCTGCTGAGCAGCACGGTAAATTATCCGAGGCCACAAATGTGGATATACTACTTGTGAGACCTTGCCTGCACTACATTGGCACTATATTGTGCTTTGTAGATACACTCTGAGACGCACTGGGGGTGCAAGCACCTCAGTATGTTGAGCAAGTAGGGAGGAAGGGTTTTCAGGGTCATCTGCAAAAATGCTCCTCGTTTCTCAGACTTACTTCATCTCCCACCACCGCTTCATCCATTCCTG